TTTCTATCTCTATGTCTCTCTCTGTCTGTCTGGCGAGCGCACGCGCCCTATAACGAAAACCTCTCCAAAAAAAAAAAAAAGCAGTTTTCATGTGTGATCACGTCTAAGGCCCATCTCTTGCCATGATTCAAAAATGCCCTGTAGTTTACCAGATCTTATAATAAATACTGCAATACATTTAGGTATTTAAAATATATTCTTTGGGGGGCCAGCAGGTGGCACGGTAGTTAAGGATGTTGGGCTCCCACATGACCAACTGTGGTTCAAGTCCTGGACCTGGTGGCTTGCTTTCTCGCTTTACCTTTTTCTCTCTCTCTGGTTAAATTGCAATAATAATAATAGCAAATGGAATTAAATAAATAAATAATTCTTTTTTAAAAATAAAATATATTTAATGGGACCAGCAGATGGCATAATGGTCACATTGCTGAACTCCCATGTAGTCAATCACAGTTCAAATTCCAGATCTGGTGGCTTGAAACTCACACAGGTATTTGTGCATGCATGCCTAAAATCCCAAGAGGAGAATGGAGGAAAAGGAACTGTGGGAATGGCCATTCCCCCTAGGGGGTGATTTCTCCCTTTCTGTCTCTCTGTCTCTCCAGCAAGCACATGTGTCCTATAGCAAAAATCTCTCTTAAAAAAAAAAAAAAAAAAGGATATTTCTTCTCAATGTATAAGTCACTTTATACAGATACATATCTATCAGGTCATCCTGAAAGGCATGATGTCTTTTTCTATGTTTTTCTATGCAAAAATGCAACCTGGACTCCTAACGACCCAATATAAATATAGATACACACATACATATGTATATGTATACATCTCACTAGGCCTGCACATGGCACAGGGTAAGTGAATATGGTTCTTGAGATCTTACAACACATCACTCATCATCTCCATACAGCTAAAAGACGAGTGGAATCAGAAGGCCACACATTCAATCACTCGACAAATACTTACTGAGTGTCTATTATGGCATAATTGTTAGGATGACCATAAAAATTACTGTCTAGATAATAAGCAAAAAAATCTACTTAAGGGAACCAGCAGTTAGCGTAATGGCTATGTTGCTGGACTCCCACGTAGTCGACCGCGGTTCGCATCCCGGACCCAGTGGCTTAAAACTCACGCCGGGCGCGTGTGCACACGTGCCCAAGATCCCGAGAGGAGAATGGAGGAGAAGGGATTGCGGCGTGGCTATCCCCCCTGGGCGGTTTTTTCTCACTTTCTGTCTCTATGTCTCTCTCTGTCTGTCTGGCAAGCGCACGCACCCTATTATGAAAACCTCTCAAAAAAAAAAAAAATCTACTTACGACAATGGGGGTCATGTCAAAAGGCTATAGGCACTAACCTGAAGGAGTGCCTAGTATCCAAAAATAGTACACATCAGAAGGAATAATGACTACACGACTACAGTTGATTACAATACATTACATATGTAAAAATTCGTAAGTTCATAACAATATTACAAGAAAAAAATATATTGGGCACCTTTGTTGGGTTAATGCTCAGGCATCAATTCATAATTATTCTGAAAACTAGTAAATAAAGAAAAAGGAGGAGCCAGCAGATGGTATGGTGGTTGAAGGTGCTGAACTTCCACATGGCCAACTGCAGTTCAAATACCAGACCTGGTGGCTTGCTTTCTCACTTTCTCCCCTCCTCTCTCTCTTACTCTGTCCTTCTCTGATCAAAATAAAATAAATAAATAAAGTTCAATAAAATAATTATTTTTAAAAAAGAAAATATTTATCTTGTCTGTCCTATATCAACTATATTTCAGGATATCTAAATAGTTGACAAAGAAAAGCTCTTTAAAAAAATAACAACAGATAATAACTACAGAAAGAACAATAGAGACGTCAGCGGATAAGGTAGCGGTTATGTCGCTGAACTCTCACATAGCCCACCACAGTTCGAGTCCTGGGCCTGGTGGCTTGAAACTCAAGCTGAGTGGTGTGTACGTGAGTTCCCAAGATCCTGGGAGGAGAATGGACGAGAAGGGATTGTGGGATGGCCATGCCCCCTGGGGGATGAATTCTCACTTTCCCTCTCACTGTGTCTCTCTCTATTCTCTCTCCAGTAAACACACATGCCCTAAGGCCAAAACCTCTACCAAAAAAAAAAAAAAAAGACAGAATTAGTATATACATATTTCTGAACCCTAATGAAAGAACACAGCCTGGTAATAATCACCAAGGCGGTCGAAACGTCTGAGTTACAAAGTTATTAAGGAATCTCATAATGGCTGTATAATAAATCTAATATTCAGGCTTAACATTATGAAAAATGAAAAACAGTCATTATCTGTCTTCTGCTATCATGCAATAGTAATTACACAACAACTCAAATGAATACATATCAGAAAAAAAATCTGAATCCAAAAAGCCTCCCTATCTAAATACCAGTTGCCAGGAAATAATAGTGTAGTAGGTGGCAGGGGAAACAGGTTTGCCCAACTTTTTCATTAAAATAATAGACACATTGCGACCAGTAGGTGGCATGGTGGTTAAGGCGCTGGGCTCTCACATGGCTGATGATGGTTTCAGTCCTAGACCTGGCGGCTTGTGTTCTCACTTTCTCTTTCTCTCTCCCTCTGTCTCTGCCTCTCTCTGGTGAGCACGTATCTCTTGACACAAACAAAAAATAATAATAATAATAATGATAAACAAAATTAATTCTTTAAAAAAAAAACAATAATAAACACATCAGTAACTGTATGCATATACCTTGTAGCTTGCAGATTTAATTCCATCAGGAACTTCATCCTGAAAAAGAAAAAAAAATATTTTCAGATAAAATCTATTTTATTCCCTGAAAAAGATCTGTGCCAATGAGTATAACTAAAATCATGTTTCTTGTTCTTCTAATACATTAATGATACCCATAAATAACACTTTATATTTGCCTTAATTATACATCCTAGATAGGCCTATATGGCAATATTTACCGGTATAAAAATAAATTGTTCAAAACCACAACACCATTTTACGCCTACTAGGATATTATTCCAAAACAGAAAATAGTAGTGTTTTCAAAGAAGTGGAAAAACTGGAACTCTTCTGCACTGCTGGTAGGAATATAAAATGGTTCAGCCACTGTGGGAAACAGTATGGCAGTTCCTCTGAACAAAAAGAAAGGAATTACTATGTGCTCCAGCAATCCCACTTCTAGGCATACACCCAATAAGACTGAGAGTAAGGCTGAATGATTATGCTATAACCTGTTTGAACAGGTATTAGTACACCTATGTTCATCTAACAACATTATTCACAATAGCCCAAAGAGAGAAACAACCCCAAAAGTCCATCAACAGATGAATGGATAAACAATGTAACGGAAAAGCCAACTTCACAGAGAAAGAAAACAGAGGGGTATCTGCTAGGTACTGGGTGGAGGAGGGAAAGCGTTAGCACCATAAAAAAAAGTGAAATTAGAGGCCAGCAGGTGGCGTGGTAGTTAAGGGCTCTGGACTCTCACATGGCCAACCATGGTTCGAATCCTGGACCTGGCGGCTTGCTTTCTTGCTCTCTCTCGCTCTCTCTCTCATTCTGTCCCTCGCTGGTCAAATTAAAATAAATAAATAAATAAATAAATGAATAAAGTTAAATAAAATCATCACGTTACAAAAAATTGAAATAAAAAATATTTGCTTTTAAAGGCAAAAAAAATACTTCACTGGAAAGTATTTTTTAAATCTCTACTTTCACTGTAGAATACTTCAAATTTTAAAGTGCCGCAAATTCCAAAGTAAATCCAAGTGTTTTGTCCACTCCCAACCCTTACCCAGGAAATGTAAAGAAAAAATACACCCTAAAACAGAAGAAGGATCTTGTTTATACCTCAATTGATTTCATTCTGTTATATTATACACACAACTTTCTTCAGGTAATAAGTAATAAAAAGCAAATCTCAAACTAAAAGAACGATTAATTTCTCTAGTAAATCAAAGGATTATATTAACCACAAAATATTAATTCTATTATTATGAAGATAGTATACTTCAAAATAGATTTTATATTTGAATTTTAGAGTTTTTTTGTATGTTTGTCTAATTTTGTCAAAAAGCATGTGTACTCACAGGAGACAGAGAGAGAAAAAGAGGAAAAGTGAGAAAGCACCTCTCATGAGGAATGATTGCAATCCCTTCCCTTATTGAGATTCTGGGCACACACACACATACCTGGTGTGTTTCTCAAGTCACCAGTACGAGACTCTTGACCCTGCAGCCAGTCGTGTAGTCACCATAACTACCACGCCATGGGCTGACCCCAAAGCTTAGGTTTTTAATATGTAAATATCGAATGTTATATTTAAACTAAGAATTTAAATATGCGGGACCAGTAGATGATGTGATGGTTAGGTCACTAAAACTCCCATGTAGCTGACTATAGTCTGAGTCCCAGACCCAGAGGCTTGAAACTCACACAGGGTGCATGTGTGTGTGCCCAAGATCCTGAAAAGAAAATGGAGGAGAAGGGACTGCAGCGTGACCACCCCCTAAGGGGGTGATTCCTCACTAGCGTATGTGCCCTACAGGAAAACTCTCTCTAAAAAAAAAAAAAAAAAAAAAAAAAAAGAAAAGAATTCAAATATTATTTTAATTAGACCAGTTTTCTTTAAAAAGTTCTAGTGGATGAAAAAGATGTCACTTTTTAAAATTAATACATGCTCCTTACAGATTGACAAGGTTTGACAGCACAGTCCCTTCTTCCACACTGGTTGATGTCATTCCAGAAAGGACATGGCCTCTTCAGGTTTACCTGTAAAATCATAACAGAAAAGAGTTATAAAAATAAGAAGCTCAGGGCCTGCAGGTGTCATGGAGGTTAAGGTGCTGGATCCTACATGGCCAATCAGGATTTGAGCCCTGGACGAAGTAGCTTAAAAATCACGCCGTGTGCATGTGTGTATGTATGTATGAGTGTGCACCCAAAATTCCAAGAGGAGTCTGGAGAAGAAGGGATTACAGCATGGTCATTCCCCCACAGGAAGGTGATTTCTCATTTTCTCTCTCTCTCCCTCTCTGTCTCTCTCTAGCTAGTACACACATCCTATTGTACAAACTTAAAAAAAATTTTTAATTGATTATAATTGACAGATGTTGAATCATGATGCTATGATCTGGTCACATATAAAGTTACTTACCTGCTGTCAAGTTCCAAGGTTGCATAAATGTATAGTTGGTCTAAGTAAATTGGTAGAGCTGGTTAGAAAGACAGACTGGGACCAGCAGTTAGTGTAATGGCTATGTTGCTGGACTCCCACGTAGTCGATCGCGGTTCGCGTCCCGGACCTGGTGGCTTAAACTCATGCCGGGCCCGTGTGCGTGTGTGCCCAAGATCCCGAGAGGAGAATAGAGGAGAAGGGACTGCGGCGTGGCCATCACCCCTGAGGGGTGATTTCTCACTTTCTGTCTCTCTCTGTCTGGCGAGCACACGTGCCCTATAGCAAAAACCTCTCCAAAAAAAGAAAAAAAAAAGAAAGACAGACTACTACTAGACAGATTCTGAACAGAGGACCACTAGGAACCACAATAGCTCACATTACTGCTCAACTCATATTCTTTTTAAGCAAGAAATGATTAAGTAGAGAAGAACTGAACAATTGTGAACTTAGACTATAACTAAGTAATGAACTAAATGATCAGGTTTTCTAAAGTCTTCCAGCAGATTTCTCAGGATAAAATATCACAAATGACTTGTTAAAATACTATGGGTCGGAAAAAAAAAATACTATGGGTCGGGGCCGGCAGGTGGTGTGGTGGTTAAGGGTGCTGGATTCCCACACGGCCGACTGTGGTTTGAGTCTTGGACCTGGTGTCTTGCTTTCTCCCTTTCCCTTTTTCTCTCTGATTAAATTTTTTAAATGGTTGTAGCAAATGGAATTAAATAAATAAATAATTCTTTTCTTCTTTAGTATTATGGGTCAGAATAAAGTCATGCTTCTTCCCCAAAATCAGTAATCTAATTATTTTAATTAATTGAAGCCAATTTGATGTTTTAGAATATTATGAATTCACTGGGTTTTTTGTTTTTTTTTTTTTTTTTTTTTGGGGGATTTTTTCTCTATGGGGCGAAAAAGCGCTCGCCAGACAGACAGAGAGAGACAGAGAGACAGAAAGCGAGAAATCACCCCCCAGGGGGGATGGTCACGCCGCAATCCCTACTCCTCCATTCTCCTCTTGGGATCTTGGGCACGCACGCACACGCGCCCGGCGTGAGTTTTAAGCCACCGGGTCCAGGACGCAAACAGCGGTCGACTACGTGGGAGTCCAGCGACATAGCCATTACGCCAACTGCTGGTTCCCTCATTGGGGGTTTTTTTAACACTTATTTTATTTAACTTTTTTTCTTTCTTTCTTTCTTTCTTTAAATTTGACCAGTGAGACAAAATGAGAGAGAGAGAAAGTGAGAAAGCAAGCTGCCAGGTCTGGGACTCAAATTGCGGTAGGCCATGTGAGAGTCTACTGCCCTTAACCACCACGCCACCTGCCAGTCTCTGAATTCACTGTTTTAATAACATGTAACCATTTGTGTTCTAACTTCAATTTAACCAACTAGTTTCCTAACTATCTATAAAAAACTCATTACTGAAATTAAAAGTATCCAATAGATGATTTCAAAACCACATGGTTCCTTCTTAGGAACTGAATTTTCTGAATAAAGCCTTTGTCAGTTTTGAGGGTTTTTTTTTTTTTAGGGATTTTTCTCTTAGGGTACGTGCGTGCACTCGCCAAAGACAGAGAAACAGTGAGAGGGAAAGTGAAAAATCACCCCCCTAGAGGGGATTGCCACAAACCCTTTTCCTCCACTGTCCTCCTGGGACTTGGGGCACACATGCACATTCACCCAGCATGATTTTCAAGCCACTGGGACTGGGATTCACACCATGGTTGGCCATGTGGGAGTCCAGCCACCTTAACTACCACAACCCTGCTAACCCCAGCTTTTATCAGTTTTAAATAAAAATCACAATTTTGAAGTTAAGTAATTCTTAAGAAAATATAAATATCCACTTAATTTTGAAGTTAAGTAATTCTTAAGAAAATATAAATAGCCTACTTAAACTTTAAATAATCTTATACAAAAAAACTGAAAATACCTTATAATATCTAAAGTAGTCGCTTTCAAGAAGTTTTTGTAGCCTTGGGAAGAGTCTGTAGTTATTAAATTTATCAATGGTTTCAACATCACAGGTACAATCATCCAAGTAACCACTTTCCTGTTAAAAAAAAAAAAGAAATATTAAATTAAAATGTCCTAGATGCAAAAGGTTCTCTCTCTTCACACGGTTGTCATGAAATATCTCCCCCAATCATTTCTTGAGATGGATTATGACAATCATCTAGCAACGTTCTCGTTCTAGTATACCTATAAGAATTCAGTGGATAATTTTTTTCACAGCCCAGAGTTCTTTTTATTTACTGTTTAACACCTTTTTAAAATAACTTTTTTTTTTTAATTTTACCAGAAAGAGAGAAACACACACACAGAGGTAAAGCAAGAAAGCAAGTCATCAGGTCCAGGACTCCAACTGCAGTTGGCCACATGGGAATCCAGCGCCTTAACCACCCCCCATCACCTGTAAACCCCTTTTAAACACCTTTTATGCCACAAATTCATAGAGAATTGGTTCCAGAAGCTCAGGTTTCTTTCCACTGGTTCTCACAAAGTGTGCCTCTCTGGGTGGAGCAGGCTGGTGCTTCACTTGAGGTACCTTTCTCCTTGGTTTCCTTCTTTTTCTGGTTATTTTCCTTCACACGTTTTGGGAAGCTCTAGCTGCTCTTAGAATGCTCTGGGATCAGCAGAAATGGCATAATGGTTATGTTGCTGGAATCCCATGTAGTCGACCATGGTTTGAGTCCCGCAGTGTAAAACTCATACCGGTGCGTGTACATGTGTGCCCAAAATTCCAAGAGGAGAATGCAGAGAAGGAATTCCAGCATGGCCAAACTCCAGGAGTGATTTCTCACATTCTGTCTCTCTGTCTCTCTGTCTCTTCGGTGAGCACACATACACTATAGCAAAAATCTCTCTCTAAAAAAGAAAGAAAGATGGGACCACCAGTTAGAGTAATGGCTATGGCGCTGGACTCCCATGTAGTCCACCGCAGTTCGCATCCCGGACCCAGTGGCTTAAAACACACACCGGGCACGTGTGCGTGCGTGCCCAAGATCCTGAGAGGAGAATGGAGGAGAAGGGATTGCAGTGTGGCCAACCCCCCAGGGGATTATTTCTTGCTTTCTGTCTCTCTGTCTCTTTCTGGCGAGCGCACGTGCCCTATAGCAAAAACCTCTCCAAAAAAGAAAGAAAGAAAGAATGCTTAATATGCTCAATATAGCACATTAATTCTCTTGGCAAAAATCTTGCCCTTCACTTGTTTGTTCACAAGAATGCCAACAGCGTGCTGGGCAACACTGTACACGCTTCCAGAGTTGCCATGGTAACATTTGTGGGGCATTCCTTTTGAACAGTACCCATTCCCTTGATGTCTACAGTATCACCTTTCTTGTAGATGACATGTATGTCCCAAAGGAAGGACTCCATGTTTCCTAAAAGATCTAGGGAACATACAGCCGGTGCCTCTCCCCTTTCCCTTTGCGCTCATCACTTCGGTGAATTACCAGAAGATGGCTGCTCCAGGCGAAAGGAAGGTTCAACAGATACTTTTGCTGAGCTCAGAATGACAAATGCACCCAAAGCTGGTCACTTAGCAGCCATTTTGTAACTCAGCCCTCCAGGCCAAAATTCACCTGACCAAAGGTGGACATCTGGTCCCAACCAGGTCATGCACGGTCCCTTCCCTTGAATCTAAGAGGGAGAGATGTGTCTCCATGCGGCTAGCCAGAGACAAGTAACTCGGACCATATGCCATCACGTGAACTGAGGAGCATGTGAGCCAGTGGGCAGAGAGAGAGAAGACGTTTAAAGATGTGCAAAAGCAGAGACAGGAGCTGGTAAGCTACTGAGATTCCCTAGGGGTGTTCAGCTCTGACTTCCACTCATCTTCCCAGAAGTACAGCTGCATTCCCATCTTTAGCTTGCCTGACGCTTTTCTTTTTTTTAAAAATTCAGTTGTCGGGGCCAGCAGGTGGCATGGTGGTCAAGGGCACTGGATTCCTACATGGCCGACCACGGTTCAAGTCCTGGACCTGGTGGCTTGCTTTCTCCCTTTCTCTCTCTTCCTGTCTCTGACCAAATTTAAAATAATGATAATAATAACAAATGGAATTAAATAAATAAATAATTTTTTTTTTAATTCAGTTGTCTTTGTCTTTTCTTTTTTTTTAGTTTCTCACGAGATGTGTAGGTCAGAGACAAGCTTGGTGAATGAAGTGATATAGAACTTATAAAAGAAACAGTCATTCATGATAAGGATCTAACAACACTCAAATATTAGGCCATAACAAGTTTTATAGGTTTGGAAGAGTGCTTAAAAATCATTTCTTTGTGGTAACACTGAGAATGACCTGACCACAAAGCCAGTCCTGCTCCTTAAATGCTTAAACCTGAGGTCTTAACAATATTTACTATATCAAATTATTAACTGCACCTACATCAGGATACTATGAGAAACCATAATCAGTGTTATCAGTTGTGAAACTAAAAGCTTTAGACGTTTACTTGGAGCTAGGCAAAAATCTTAAAGAATTTACCAAACATTGCTTTAAGTAACAAATACACCATGATTCAAAAAATAGTAAGAATTAACCATACACACACACACACACACACACACACACACACACACACACGTTTATACATATATATACACACCCACATTATATCCTATCATGCTTTGGTCTTAATATTTGCATTGTAAACTACTTTGGATTAGGTTTTAGGGAGACCTATTGTCTACAAAAAGATAATTTAAAAATCTATGGGCAAAGAAGCAAATAAACAAATACTTTATTAAAATATTAAAGCAAGATGTTTCCCTTTGGAATATGTAAAATCCTACACTATCTTTTAATTTGAGAACAAAAAAGTACTAGAAATATGTCACCTAAAAAATAAGAATACTTTGAGTAATACAGTACTAACATTCAAGAATTAAGACTTTTCTTTCTTTTTTTTTTTTTGGAGAGGTTTTTGCGCTCACCAGAAAGACAGAGAAAGAGAGACAGAAAGCGAGAAATCACCCCCCCAGGGGGGATGGCCACGCTGCAATCCTTTGTACTCCATTCTCCTCTCGGGATCTTGGGCACGCGCGCGCATGTGCCCGGCGTGAGTTTAAGCCACCGGGTCCGGGACTCAAACCGCAGCCAGCTACATGGGAGTTCAGAGACCTAGCCAAGACACTAACAGCTGGTACCCAAGAGTTAAGACTTTTCTGATTTTCCTCATCTTATTTGCCTTGAACTAATTCAGTTTATAGAAATCTGATCTACATATTTTGTCATGTAATCACTATTTTCATTTCATATGCAAATTTGTCCTGGATTCCTACTAAAAATTCACAAGTACACAATAATCTTAAGAGTCCTAATTTTGGATATCAATACCACAAAATCGTTTCTAACCTAGATGATTTGATTTTTCAAATCATCATTTGATTTTCTTTTGAACGTTTAAAGCAGAATTTCCAAGGGCAAAAAAAAAGTAGCTATTGTTTCTCTCCTTTGATAACAGATTATTACACAGAGTAGCAGACAGGGACTGTAAAGGCTAAAAGGGACACGTGTAAGTAGAGACATGATGTCACAAAAGGGAATAAACACGCCAACAACTTGAAAGAGTCTGAAGCACTTCAATCCACTTTTCCTATCATGGGATTCACTTGCAAGGTCTGAATTTCGACTCAGCTGAGTAGCACCCCTTTTGGAAAGCTACCCCTCAGCGACTCCTCACCACCTGCAGGGTTCACTGCTTCTCCTACGATGCTCCCAAGACCCACGATGTACTACTAAGGACGAATTACCTCACAGTGCTGGGATCCTCTCTCTCATTCCTACCCATGAAAATGTCAAGTCTCTGAGAGCAAAATGTTTGTTCATCTTTGTATTCCCAATGCTTAGCACCGTATTGTAAAAAACACCCAGGATATGCTCAGTAAGTATTCTTGGAATGGATGGATGAGTTAACGAAAGCTGTCCACTGTCGTCACCCCTGGAGACAGTCTAATAGTACCCATCGCAGACCTACCATATCACGAGACAGTAGTACCTACCATTATCACCTATGGTGGTGCTCAGTGCCCCAGGGCACACACGCACACGTGGCATACAAGCGCTCACATAGCAAAGCAAAGTAAGCAGCAAAGGTAGACCACCCTTTGCACCCACCATTGTACCAAACCCTACCCTGACTGAAGAGCTCCAAACTGAAGAGGAATGCAAGAATGACCAGAGCAGGGATTGCATATAGGCAAGATACTATAGAGATGGCAGGACAAATGATAAATTTAGAAATCTGCCCCTCGGGACCAGTAGGTGGCACGGCCATATGGACTTCCACATGGCCAGTCAAGGTTCCAGTCCCTTGTGGCTTGCTTTCTTACTCTCACTCTCTCTTTCTCGGTCTCTCTCTGATGAGAGCACATGCCCTACTGCAAATTAATAATAATAAATAAAATTAAATAAATAACTGTTAAAAAAAAAAAAAAAAAGAAATCTGCTGGCCCTTATCTTGGATATGGAGTACAAGGGTCCTCAACTACAACAACAGGTAGCAAGCCCACGAAGGAAGGAAGTTAAGGGTGCCAGGGATTTCAGGAGACAGAGTCCAGCAAAGGAAAGGCAGGAAGATACTTAGAAATCCAAGCCACCTGACACTGCAAAAGCCTGCCAACAGGCAGCAGCACTGATCTCTGCACAGAAATCTACCAGGTATGGTGCCAGGCCCAATTCTAGAAACTAGAGAACAGGGCAGGCTTACAGAATAGTGTCAGGAAAGACCAAAGTAGAAATCCAGTTCATAAACCCAGCACACAATCTTGGAAACAAGGCAAAATTCTATTACCTAAAACTAAGACCGAAAGTCAGGTGCCAATCTGTAACAAGAAAGACTTCATGCTGTCAGGATGTGCCAAGGCTGCTTAAACAATTACTACTACCTTTTTTAAAGAATTATTTTATTTAACTTTATTTATTTGTTTATTTTAATTTGACCACAGAGCAACAGAGAGAGAAAAAAGTGAGAAAGCAAGCCACCAGGTTCAGAACTCAAACCGCGGTCAGCCACGTGGGAGTCCAGCGCCTTTAACCACCACACCCCCCCCGCCAGCCCCAGCAATTACTAGTACTTAAATAATCACCATCTCCCAAAGAGAAACAGCTCTGGCCCTAACATAGGAATCTGAATTTTTAAAAATATATATATATCCTTCCCTTGGGCTGGCCATGTAGTACAATGGTTAGAGAAGCTATATCCCACAGATCCAACTACATTTGGAATCTCAGTTCCAGCAGCTTGAAAAACACACTGGACATGAGTGAGTGCATGCCCCAAATCCCAATATGATGAAATGGGCGGAGGAGGTACTTTCTTTTGTGTGTGTGTGTGTGTTTTATACCCAGTTTATTATAAGCCAATTGTGCTGTTTATAAAAAAAAAATAAGACCCATATAAAAAGCCTCTTTACTCCTGAGAAAGGAGCAAACCTTGTAGTTTACCTGAGTACAGATATTTGTTAAGAATTCATATCTTTTACAGGTTTTACAAAGGTTAATAAAGTCTCGAGGGAAATCTCAAGCTAAACACCTCAATGTCCAGATGGTAGCAGCTGATAAACTGGCTCAGTGTCCTCCGGTAAGTTATCTATATACACAGTATAATCTATTTGAAGAGATCAGATGAGACTATATTTTTAAAAAGGCAAATTTTTGGGAACCAGCAGTTAGCGTAATGGCTATGTCACTGGACTCCCACGTAGTCGACTACGGTTCGCGGAGGTACTTTCTTTTGATGGGTGCTTTTCCCCCAGCCCCATGAATGCCCTCATACCCACTCTGATTGATGCATGCTAAAATTTGAAATTCACAGGACCAGCAGGTGGCGTAATGGTTACATCGCTGGACATAGCCAACCAACTGTGGTTTGAGTCCTGAACCCGGAGGCCTGAAACTCATGCTGGGCATGTGTGCATGCATGCCCAAGATCTCAAGAGGAGAATAGAGAAGGGATTGCGGCATGGTCATTCACCTGCGGGGGGGTGGGGAGGGGCGCGTTTGATCTGTCTCTGTCTCTCCAGTGAGCGCACGCACCCTTTTCAGAGCAATAATTTCTCTAAAAAACAAATTTTTTTTTTAACTCACTGCTCGAGGCTTCAAATAATCAACCCTAGGTAGGGCACCAATCTAACAGAGATAAAAAGACCCTCATTGAGGGATGTCAGTTATTTGTCTTCCATTTTTCTGAACTAAGTGTAAATCTATTGGTTTATTCACTTAGCCTCTCTCTGTTTACCTCTTACAGGAAATCACGAGGGTGGAGGACAGGACGAAGGGAGTAGGCCTGACACGTAACACCACCCAGATCAGGTCCTAGTCTTTTAAGAGATGGAAAGCCTTTGAAGGCCTTCTATTACAATCTCCCGAGCAGAACAGTAATCTCTGCAAATACGCCCAAGGAAGAAGCAGTGTGTAACAAGGGTTAGCGTGCAGAACCCTATCTGCCACTTAGTAGTTTTTTTGGTTTTTTACCTTACCCAACTTACTTAAACTCCTTAGGTCTCCGTTTCTTATCTTAGTACAAAATAATATTAGTTTCTATCTCAAAGATTTGCAATCAGGATAAAAAGCATCTGAAGAAAATGCTCAGTAAATGTTGATCATTATTATTACCCTACCTCTGCTTAAATGTCTCAAGTAAAGGAATCATACTATTCCTCAAAGTAGCCACATTTTTTCTTTTCTTTTAGAGAGATTTTTGTTTCAGGGTGCATGTGTTCACCAGAGAGACAGAGAGATGGAGAGAGAAAAAGTGAGAAATCACTTCCTGGAGGATGGCCACGCAGCAATCCTTTCTGCGTTCTCCTCTTGGGATTTTCAAGCCTTTGGGTCCAGGACTTGAACTGTAGTCCACTTTGTAGATTCCAGCACCTTAATCACTATGCCACCTGCTGGCCTCACCACAACATTTTATTTAATGAAAGAAAAAAAAAAAAAAAGGCCAAGTTTATAGTTAACATTTTCCCCAATATTTGACATCTGTAGTGTCCCTGGAACAAAGATCAAAATAACAGAAAATTAGCTTTAGAGGGAACCTCAGTAACTTTCTCTGATGGCTCTGGTTGATTTGACCAACTCAAAAGGCAAGAGAAAAGAAAACTGTACTGAATTGCTTGTTTGCAATTCTCTGATTAGAGGTATCCTCGAACTTGCAATAAAAGACAAAATAAGGGGCCAGCAGGTGGCAAGGTGGTAAAGGCACTGGACTCTCACGTGGCTGACCACAGCTCAGTCCCAGACTGGGCGGCTTGAGAATCACACCACGCACATGTGTGTGCGTGTGCGTGCCCAAAATCCCGAGAGGAAGGTGAAGGAGAAGGCACTACAGCATGACCATCCCCCCAGGGGGTGATTTCTCACGTTCCCTCTCACCCTCTGTCTGGCAAAACATTTTAAAAATTTTTAAAAAGAAAAAGAAAATGAAAAACACTCTCTAAATAGTTTTCTTATGTACCAAAATAATTCTAATGCTACAATAAGTTATCATTCTGCTTTTAAAGCACTGTAAGAATGTCTCTCTGTCTCTGTCTCTCCAGCAAGTACATTTTGCACTGTAGCAAAAAGCTCTCTCTCTCAAAAGAAAAAAAAAAAAGAAAGAAAGAAAGAAAAAGGCACTAAGCACACAAAGGGGAAAGGACAGTCTCTTGAATAGTGCTGGGAAAACTTGATATCCACATGCCAAAAAAAAAAAAAAAATTGGAATACCTTACACCAAACACAAAAATCAATTAAAAATGAATTTAAAATGTAAAAGTGGGGCCACAAGTGGCTTGGTGGATAAAGCATTGGACTCCCACATGGCCAAATACAGTTTCAGTCCCAGACCTGGCAGCTGACTTCCTCACTCCATCTCCCAACCCCCACCTGTCTTTCTCTGGTGAGCACACGAGTCCTATGGCAAATTAAATAATAATAAATAAAAGTTTTTCAAATTCTTCTCTTAAAAACATGAATACACATGTAAAATTAAGATCCTAAATCATAAAGCTCTTAGAAGAAAACATGTGAAAAGCTTCATGACTTTGGTCTAGGCAATGATTTTTTTGGCTATGACACCAAAAGCACAGGAAACACAACCGAAAACAAGCAAGTAAGACTACATCAAGCTAAAATGCTTCTGCATAGAAAAGGAAGCAATCATGAAAATGAAAAGTTCTCCCCTCCCTACAGAACGGGAGAAAATATTTGCAAACCATTTATCTGATAAAAGGTCAATATCCAAAATATATAAAGAGGTCATAAAAAAAAAAAAAAAAGAACTCATACAACTCAATAGCAATAAACAAATAACTTGATTTAAAGATAGGCAAATGACCTGAATAGACATTTTTCCAAATGAAGATATACAAATGGCCAAGAGGTACATGAAAAGGTGCTAATCATTACTAATCATCAGGGAAATGCAAACCAAAACCACACTAAGACATCATCTCACACCTGTTCAGACAGTTATTACCAAAAAGGGAACCATTATATACTGTTAGTGGGAATGTAAATTGATATAGCCATTATGGAAAACAGTCTGGAGTTTCCTCAAAAAATTAAAAATAGAACTACCATATAAACAAGCAATTTTACTTCTGAGTATATACCTAAAGAAAAAAAATCACTATTTTAAAGAAATATCTGAGGACCAGCAGTTGGCATAATGGCGCTGACTGCGGTTTGAGTCCCGAACCCGGTGGCTTAAACTCACACCAGGCGCATGTGCATGCACGCCCAAGATCCCAAGAGGAGAATGGAGGAGAAGGGACAGTGGCGTGGCCATCCCCCCTGGGAGGTAATTTCTCACTTTCTGTCTCTCTGTTGCTCTCTGTTTTTCTGGTGAGGGCATGCTTTCTATAGCAAAAACCCCTTAAAAAAAAAAAAGGAAAAGAAAAAGAAATATTTGCACTCCCACATTCACTGCACTATCATTCACAATAGCTAAGATACAGAAGCAATCTAAGTGTCTAAAAAGGGATGAACGTATAATGTGATACATACACACACAAACTAGAATATTATTCAGCCTAAGAATAAAGGTTGGGCCAGAACATGGCACGGTGGTTGCATCATTGGACTCCCACATGGCTGACCACAGACTGAGTCCTAGACCCAGTGCTTTGAAAATCATGCCAGGCACATGTGTGTGCATGCCCAAGATCCTGGGAGAGCAGAGAAGAAGGGGTTGCAGCGTGGCCATACCCCTAAGAGCAGGTTTCTCACTTTCCCTCTTGCTATCACCATCTTTCTCCAGTGAGTGCATGAGCTTTAAGGCAAAAACCTCTTTAAAAAAAAAAAAACTAGGAAATCCTGCCACTTGTGACACTGTGGATGAATCTGGAGGACACAGTGTTAAGTGAAATAAGCCTGACACAGGAAGACAAATGCAGACTGTATGATCTCACTTGCATGTGGAATCTAAAAAAGTCAAACTCACAGTAACCAAAAGTAGAAGAGTGTGGTTACCAAGGGTCAGGGAGTGGGGGAAAGAGGGAGATGTTGGTCAAAGAATAGAACTTTTAGTTCTAAGATAAATACAGGACTGACTCCATGGCGCAGCAAGTAATGTGCTGCTCAAGAGAAGCTGGATCCCACAAGGCGACTGCTGCTTGAATCCACAGCCTGGTCGGCCTACAATATGGTGGACGCAAGCACAATCCGACAAGTTGGAGCACTGGAAGAAGGGGACCTCAGCATGAACAGACCCCATGTGGATGGTGCTCATTGTGCCTGTCTCTCTCTCTCACATGTACACACAGGCTCTACCATGAATAAAGAAAGTAACTCTAAAAGATGAAGACATTCTAGAGACTTAATGTACAAATTAATGTACAAACTGAAAATTTGCTAAGACGGGACCAGCAGATGGTGTAATGGTTACATTGCTGGACTCCCGCATAGTTGACTGTGGTTCGAGTCTCAGACCCAACAGCTTAAAATTCATGCCAGGTGCATGTGCACGTGTGCCTAGAATCTCGAGTGGAGGATGGAGAAGGGACTGTGGCGTGGCCATCCCCCAAGAGAGGGATTTCTCGCTTTCTGTCTCTCAGTCTTTCTCTGTCTCTCCAGCATGCGCAAGCACCCTGTAGCAAAAATCTCTCTCCACAAAAAAAAAAAAAAAAAAGAAAAGAAAAGAAAAACAATTTGCTAAGACTAGATCTTAAGTTTCTTACCATACACGCACATACAGAAAAGGTAATTATGTGAGCCAGCAAGTGATGTGGTGGGTAAGGCACTGGACTCCCACATGGCTGACATGGTTCAAGTCCTGGACCCAGTGGCTTCAAAATCACACTGGGTACATGTGTGTGCATGCCCAAAATCCTGAGAGGAGAATGGAGAAGAGATTGTGGCATGGTCATTCACCCTGGGGGGCTGAATTCACATTTTCTCTCTTTCTGTCTCTGTCTCTCTTCAGACCATGTACCCTGCGGCAAAAATATGAAAAAAGAAATAAAAGTAAGTTAATATGTTAATTAGCTTAATTATTAATTGCAGTAATGTTTCCCAATGTATAACAAAACATCACAGGTGGGACCAGTAGCTGGCATAATGGTTACATAGCTGAACTCCCACATAGTCAACTATGGTTCA